ACGTACATTTTTCGCTTTGTGTGTCTGCGTGTCGCCTACAGGCAACAGTTGTTTATGGATCGTCTTGAAAACATTATATACTGATTCCTATTGTTTTTGGTGCATGACCGACCCCCGGGGGCAAAGCCACGTCCATTTTTTTGTTTGTTTGTCGTCTACAGGCCGCATTTCTTAACGGATCCACTTGAAACATTCCATACTTCTACGTAGGTAACATCACTATTGTTTTTGTTGCATGCATGCCCAACCCCCAGAGACAGCCACGCCCATTTTCTCTGTGTGTGTCTGTGTGTCGCCTACAGGCAACAATTCTTAATGGATCGTCTTGAAAACTTTTCATACTTATTCCTTATACCCTTTTATAGTGTGTCTATATGATCTTAACAGATCCTTTTGAAACTTTGCTTACCTATTCCTTATACCCTAAGGGTGATCTCTATTTTATTTGGCGAATACCCGACCGTCATGGGCAAAGCCACATCCACTTTTCTTTGTGTCTCTATGCGTTGCCTACAGGCAATAATTCTTGGACCTTGGTATATCTAAGACGGCAACTATTGATTGTTTTGCATGTGCCGAGCCCCCCCCCCCCCTCCCAGGGACAGAGCCACGCCCAAATTCGGCGTTGATCGTATACGGGCCGTAATTCTGAATGGATCATCTTGGAACTTGGGATATGTGTCACTTATGGCCTAATAGCGGCAACTATTGATTTTGGTGCATGTCCCGACCCCCAGGGGCAGAGCCACGCTCAAATTTTTAAGTTTAGCGCCTTTTCCTTATACCCTAAGGACAGTAACTATTGATTTTGGTGCATGCCCCCCCCCCCCCCGTCCTTTTGGGTAATGCCACACCCACTTTTTTTGTTAATATTTTGTCTGTAAATGGTATACAGGTTGCAATTATTAACAGATTTGGATCCAATTCGGCATGACCCATCATGGGCTTGTACCTATTTATATTGGTCCATGTCCAATCCCCAGGGGCAGAGCCACGCCCAATTTTTGTGTTTTATGTCAACAGGCTTAAATTCTAAAAGGATCATCTTGGAACTTGGCATATTTATTCCTTATACCATAAGGATAGCAACTATGTGCATGCCCCGACCCCCAGGGTTAATTTTTGGTCTGTAAATACTTTACAGGTTGCAGTTGTTAATCAGTTCAATAACAGGGTGGTACCTATTTATATTGTTCCATATCCAACCCCCAGGGGCAGAGCCACGCCCAGTTTTTGTGTTTATCGTCTGTAGGCTGCAATTCGGAATGGATCATCTTGGAACTTTGCATACTTATTCCTTATAACGTGAAGACAGTAACTATTTATTTTGGTACATGCCCCGACCCACTGGGGTGGCGTCACGCCCACTTTTATGTTCATATTTAGTCTGTAAATTTGGCAATACAAACCCACCGCCTAGTCTTTTTTGCCTCTTGTCGTATTAAGTCATTGCAGCCATTTCATATTTCATTTTCTTTATTTTAATTTTAAAAAGTAGGCCTACCATATTAATCAAATCAGGAATAGAGACGTATATTGCAGCGTTAGCGATGCTTTTGTTTATCAGTACATCCATACCCACATCAATAAGTCAAGCTAACATAAATGCGCTTTGCGTAAGTATGGTGGTCATTTGATCGTGGAAGGAACTAGAATGCATTATTACCACCTGGTTAATAATATAACCTACTACTATATATAGCTCCGATCAGATCAATATACAAAGAACACTCTTACTTCAAACATATATTTATTTGACTTGTGGAACGAAGCCAAACTAGAACTTTCGAATCACCCCTTATGAATAGTGACTGCGTTCTAGAATCGACAACTTAAACATGCATTATGCAAGAGCTAAATCTGCCTATAGCAGGTCTTTCTTTAGGCCTGAAATGTTTTCTAAAGTATTAATTAGACATTAAGTAACTGATCGAGGCCTTAATCAACTCTCGATGGCATCAGATTTCTCCGATATTAAATAGATTAGAATGGTTCAGCGATACTTTGATTTAATCAAATATGGAGGACTGAGACTTAGCTTCGATTAACCAGTACGGTGGGTGAAATTATGCATACGTCTGTCACAACCTTCAAAGGCCAATATCTTCGCTTGCAATAGAGTAATTTGAATGAAATTTTCAAATTATTCATTTTACATCATCTACTTTCGAACTATTATAGCAAGAATGGTTAGTTCTTTATCTAAATCTTACATAATGTATCTTTAACACTATGCATTCTTTCATTTGGTTTGATTTACGTTGCGCTAGAATCATTGATTTCTTTCTACATTTGCAAAAACCTTAAGCACCAGGACTGCGATATAGAATCTACAATTTACTTTAAACGTTACAATCTCGATTTACATTATAGGAATATGTAATCCCATGACTTTCCCAACCACCAATTTAAGGGGAAAAAACCCGGTGTCTGGTCCTTCGCGTGGTACGAAAAATGGGGGTTAAATATTCAGTCTAGTAATTCACGTAAGATATACCCAATGATCACCCCATCACAGTTCTAATGCTTTACACTAAATTTGTAAAATAAAATTATTGGAAACCATAGCCTGTATCACGATCAAAATGTTTTCGCCGAACGCTGAAAATCGATAGGGTTCGTCTTCTTGACCGCGATACTTCACTCTAAAAAAATCCGCTAGAAAATTGTAGGTTTTTTGTGTTCATGGGGTTTCCAAAATGGGGGCGGAACTCCAAAACGGTAGTTCGCGGTACACTGAAAATCGATATGGTTTGTCCTCTCATGACCAAAATGCCTCACCCCAAGTTTGAAAAGTATAGTGTTCGTCCTTTCATGACACCAATGCTTCTCACCAAATTATGTTTTAAAAGATTTTCGGAATAGTGTGTCACAGAACGCTGAAAATTTATAGGGTTCGTCCTCTCATGACCCAAATGCCTCACACCAAATTATTTTTTAAAGAATTTTCAGGTTAGTGTGTCGCAGCACGCTAAATATTGATAGGATTCGTTCTCTCCAGAACCAAATGCTTCGCACCAAATTTGAAAAGCAATTTCGGAGAAGGGGGCGTAACTCCATAACATAGGTCGTAGAACACGAGAAACTGACAGGATTGAAATGCGGACGTATAAAAATACCGTATGTGTATGTCAGTTTAATGTGTCGACGAAAAATTAAACTCCAGACCTTACTTACAGTATCACTACGTTAAACAGCAACCGAACACCTGTATTCCAAAGAAGGATTAATACCGATAAATTCCGTGTCTTATTTCACGTATGTTTATGGATATTTACTCTTCCCAATGGAAAATCGAAGAGTTATCCGCCCTTGAGGAGGATGTTGGGTCGAATTTGCAGACAAACCGTGGAACTTAAGACCATTGCAAGTGGAGATAACCACCCGATCTCCTTTCTATTGTCGTAAGCGTATAAAAGATAACAAAGCAATGGTATCTGTATTAACGAGTTATTTTAATTAAAAAAAAAATCACAATACAAGGATGTGTCAAGAATCATGCTACTTACCGTATATTAGGGTAATTTAATGGGGCAATGAATTAAAAGAACAAGCTGTTGCTATTCAAGATACGCCCACATTTTGCAAAAGATGGACAGGAAACAAGCTAAGGGGCCATAATCTTAAGATTTTACCCGGCCCGTCCATCATGCGAAAATATCAACAAGAACCAAGAGATTTGGGATATAAACATATATTTTATGTTTCATCAAAATCGGATAAAAATTGTGACCTCTAGACGGTCCAAAAGCTAAAAACACGATTGTTCGTACAGTCAGGAGCCATAGTCCATGAAGTTACGGTCCGATATGCGGGAATATCGAAAGGAACCGCGATCTTTTGGTTATAAACATACATTTTAAGTTTCATCAAAATTAAATAAAAAATTTGGGATAACTAGAATGGTCACAAGCTTAAAACGTGATTTTTCGTACACTCAGGGGCCATAATCCATGCAGTTACGATCCGATACATGCTAATATAGAAGGGAACCGAGTTCTTTGGGAGATAAACCTATATATCTATATATCTCCCTCCACATTGATCGTACAAAAGTCAATTGTACAGTAGACAGGAACGTCAAGGTATCAAATAGAGTTCTCGACATCCAGTCCGGAAACACTTACTACAGTTTTTGTTGTATATTCATAAAAAATTTTTAATGCTAGGTTCCCACTGTCCTGCGATGAGTTACGATAGGATTGTCCCTATTGAGTCCACGTGTTAGTCCCGAAATGACATGATTTGTGTCGAGTGGACGTTAAATCCCATTTCTCTCCCTCTCTAGAGGGCCATAACCCTGACAGTGATTATCGGAAATCGCTGAAAATCATAGGCTTCTTCATCTCATGACCTTAAACACTGTGTATAAATTTAAAGTCAATCGGATATTAACTTTGACCTCTAGAGCGTCCACAAGATTTTTCAAAGTGATCAACATAACTCTGACAGTAATTATCGGAAATCGCTGAAAATCAATAGGCTTCTTCGTACAGATTGGCGTGCACGTAAAAGATCCCTTGGCAGTTGGAATTCGATGTAAAAATATACGACAATATACATCCACATGAAAATGTTGGCGTATAAAAACTGGCTAGAATTACCTCCCCGTTTATATTCGTAAGCTTAATATTTTAAACACCTCGTGAAATTATTCATTTTTCGCAGGAACTCTGTAGAAAAGTTCATTAGTGCATGAATCAAGAATTTACTAGAATATAAGTTTTATATGTAAAGTGACGATGACTGTGCTGTGCACGAAAAGAATCGTCTTTCCTTTAGGCTGACCTTAAAAATATCTTTGTTTCACCAAACCCGACCCACAATCGAGGTGAAGGGTCGGTAGGTCGGGTTTTTTTCAGATTTCTTTTTTTTAAGAGCTAATTTGACAGCTTGATAATTTTCCGGGTGCAAACATTCGTCTTCTTTTATTGGCAAACAAATCAATGACATCGGGATTTTTCTTGATGCACGACTCGCACACAAATTGCGACAAACTCACGTTTGAAACTCCCTCAACACGTTTTTAACGATCGTGCGGGTTGTGCCTTTATTTTTCTCGAAAACGGATATTGAAAATATCGTCGTCATGTTTAAAACGACGCCCCACAGACATAGAGGCAGAATCATTTCGTGGGAATGGACGTGCTTTCGTCTGCAACCATTTTGTTGAGAAGCGACACCTATGACGCTTTCGTCTTGATCAACCAGTTTCAATAATGAATCAAACCATAGCCATAGTAAAGGGAAATAACTCTCGTGATATATTTCAGGTTGACACACAAAATAAAATAAAAAGATCGCGGAAAAGTGCAATAAAATAATTTAAGTCGGGGGTGGTTTTAGTTAGTCGGTCGCGTTTGGCGAAACAAAGATATTTTTAAGGTCAGCCTTACTTTTGGTTTTATGTTTATTTATTTGTTTTAAAGTTATCTTCCGTTGAGGTAAATCTAGCCATAAACCTATTTTATCTGAAAGCAGTGAAAACGTTATCTGAACGTAGTCGCAGATTTATATGATTCTTCCATAACTGCATTCTATAGGAATTTGGTTTCACCTATCAGTGACCTAAAAATAAAATATTTAAAGTTTAGAAATAAATAATATACTATGTTAATAAATTTAAAAGTATGAAAATATATTGTATGCATGTATTTTACTCAGTATGGTAAGAACGAGATCTTCGCTTGTTATCCGTAACTCTCGTATAGATTATCTCGCCTCACAGACTTGTCCCTTTACAAGTAATTATTGATATTTTTTTCTTTCTTGTTTTTTTTTAAATGGTAAACATTTGCAAATGGATCTGCTTTAGTACTTCTGGTTATTTTGTGAATCAAAACGTCTGATCTAACGAGACTTGGCTGTATTAAATTGCTAAATATATACTTGTTATGTAGAAAATGTCTATGAAATTTTCTTAAAATATCGAGAACAGATAAGAACATTCTAGAATTTGTGCTGATATGTTATATTAGAAAATAACTTTGTTTACATGTACAAATTGATGGGGCACCTATGTCTTCCAACATACAGAGATATCACGTAGGACAATGCAGACCACTTTTCTTTTTTTTTTTTTTTTTTTTTTTTTTTTGCTTTAGGAATTGTTTGAGACGTATATTCCGTAATACTGGTTATGTGTATGTTGTTGTTAGTGTTTAACGTCCGCTTCCACCGAAGGTGATATCGCAGACAAGTTGTCTTTTTTTTATTTTCATTATCTTAGCGCACGCGCAGGGGTCTTTCCTGTGGGAGGAAACCAGAGTACCCGGAGTAAACCCACGAGGTTGAGAAGGCGCCCCTATCTCCAAGCCACATACGCTCACACCAGGGATCGAAACCACAACCGCAAGCCAGAGGTGACCGGCCAGCTAGAGGTCGAAGCGTGACACTCTAGACCACTAGGCCATCCCAACCCCCCGTTATGTGTATATAGTACCATACCTTATATGGGAGAGGTGGGGATTTAGGTTTCGTGTGCATTTGATTGTTATCCAGTTAGCCGCTTGTACTCGAACATGCTAGAAAACGGAAGACTACTCGTATATTGTATGTAAACTGTTAGCTTCCATACTTAAATCTTCAACATTATAAAATCTTGTTGCTATAGAAACCAGTGGAAGATATGCCTTAGTTTACTATCTATATTTAAAGCACTTATTTAATGTATGTCTATATACCCCTTATAGTCTATATATCAACATAGTTTATTTCTGCCCTATATAGAGTAACGAAACTTAGAAAACGTAAACTTACCTGCTATTAAGGCATCACATAATATGTTCATTTGAGGGCATGTTCTTTACATCCGTAAATATTTTTAAAAAATAGTTAAGCAATAGTAATCAAACGTTTTAACGTCCCATAATGTGTTCCAATACCTAGAGCTATTTCTTGTTTAATAGATCTGAAATGATACAAAGGTGTGGTGTCATAATTATTATAAATCATATAGTATATACAAGAAATAATTGTGATGGGTACAACCGTTACCGATCAGGGATCAGGGGGTTACATGTTCGATCCTGCTTTTGTGTACTCATCTGTAATAAAGTCACAGTAGGAGAGTGCAAGGTAAAGTTAAAGAAACATGAAGAATATATAACACAAATATGACAGTATACGTAGAGTCTGAAGACCGGGGTAAATAAAATATAAATCACACAGACATCCACATGGATTTGGAATACAAATATTATTTTATATTTTCGATCTAGTTATTCAGATTCACGTAAAATCATACTGTGATGGTGCACTTGGGGTGACTACAAATATTGCACAGTATAAATGTAATGAGAGAAAATGTGACCTATATTTTAATAATATTGCCTTGTACTCTTAAAATTAGGAAGTTCATCTCCACAACATGCAATTCATGTTATCACTTCTTCACGCGCTCATACACAGCTGTTCTACAAGATGATATTATGTACATGTATCAATCTTTTTATTTAGAAAAAAAAATCATCTTTCCTTCACAAAGAAAACAGGGTTCTTTTAAAATTAATGTAATATCAGGTAACTTGTACATTAAAATAAGTACTTTATTGTGGTGGCATTGTTTAGATACAAACAATACAGTGCCTTTTATTTTGGTTTTTTTTGTTTGGGTTTTTTTTGTTTTGTTCGAGGTCGGGTGGACCGTAATAATGAATATTCGCGAAGTGATACATAATATTACACGTTGGACTAACACTGAATTCCATACCACACTGACATTTATTCCAATTGGTTCCAGTCGAAATCCTGACCAATCGAATTTTTCGTTACATAATATAAGAAATGATTGCATTTTGAGCGCTCCTATATAAAAGGAAATTTGGTATTCAACGTTCACAGAACAGCACTTTCAAAGTAAGTATAAAACGTGTGTTTGACATATATAGTTATATTAATAATGCTAGTTTACTTTGTGTGCTCTAATTTGTTTTTTTTTTTAAAAATGGGGAGCTGAATATAGTTTCATATAATTCACCTGCATACAAAGTTTAGTACGTTGCTTATATTCAGTGTTTATCAGTATCCCAACATTAGAAGAGTGAACGTGAGATTTTTCATAGATTGTGTATCTTATTACATAACTAGATTCAACTAATCGGCTTGCTCTCTAAACGTAAAACGATTATCGGATCACGAACATTTCTCATCAATGTTTAATCTTGATAACGGATTATCATAATAATAAACCACGCCTACATATTACACGGGATTATTATACAATACCAGAGGGAATAAACACAAAACTGACTTTATTTATATATTCGGGTTCTCTTCACATGATATATCTTCCTCTGCTTCCTAAGAATATAGTAAAAATTTAACATAGTAGTAATAAGACACGGACAGCCAGAGATAGGAGATTTTTCATATCATCCACTATCACATTTTATAGCGTTTTAGTACAAGAAGCTACTGGACGAACATCTCATTGGAAGATATTAATGGGTAGGCGCGCTGTCGGTAATGCATGTAAATCATAGTGTGCTGGATTCCTTGAAGCAAAGGATACATTTTTCTGGTATGTTTAAAGTTACGCATTTAACCTTTCACATTTGTATTTTGAACAACATGATTTAAAGTTTATATATTTATTGTACATAGACTTTATTCTTCGATTATTAGACATGACGTCTTTGAAGTGTTTATGTGTGACTGCTTCCATTTACAATTTTGATCTAACGGATTCTTCCACGGTGACTGGACTTGGATCTAACGTTACATGTTCGGCTAACATTACATGCTTATAGTTTATGCAGGGATATATATACCTTATCTGCGTTACTGATACTGCATATTTTAAAGCCAGCTGTAGTTTATATTTTGGTAGTCCTATTCTTAAATTTGAGATGAGCCTTTTCTCAATTTAAACGTTAGTATACAAATTACGCAGCTTGTTATTGTATGGGACTTGTCTATTTCAAAAGTATAGGTATTACCTTTGTTATTTATTATAATGTACATATTATATATTGGCATAAGAACACAACTTTTAGTAGGTCAACAAGTTAATATTATTATTATTATTATTATTTATTATACGACTTATATATTTCAAAAGTTGATAATTTTGTGACCAGTAACTGTATGCTTTCTCTTTGCATCCTATGACGTATTTCAATAGTTTGTACAAGCACTACTTCTGTTATTGCACACAATTTATCTGTTTTAAATGTCATGTTAAATTTGTTACTAATTATTTTACCAATTATTGATTTTGTTACTGGCGTTTGCAGGCACCTCCTAAGTTTAAAGTAGCTAAGTCTCTAACTCAATATCATCCAAAATCTTCAACTTTGAAAACACGAATTATTTGTCAATTTAAATCAACATTGATGCTGTGATCTTACCGGAAAAAGATGAGCTTCTGAAATCCAATATTTAAGACAAAATAATCATTTTACCATTGGTACACGAATCGTGTACCATAATGCGTTTTAGCCCCAGTTCTAGCAAGAGACTCGGGGAACGAGGCTAGACACATTGCACCAAATCAAACGGCGTATGTAGACTGGAATAACCAGACGCTAGAAATTTGAATTCGATTGAGACTGCTGGCTTATTTCGTGGAACATAACTGATTTGAAATTAGAGTAAAAACGGAAACCATTGAATGTAAATCAGTTTATATACATTCATATTACAGTATTATATGCGTTGCGACCCACTTCTGTCAATTTCTAGGTCCCAAATATTAGCGATTTAGCTCCTTTAAAATAGTAATTTGTTCCTGGTGTTTGAGAGGATATTCTGTATTTAAAATATTGGCATCTAGTTACAGCATATTTTTTAATCATGTTTATATAGAAATCTTGTACCGGTACGTCGTTTAAGAAATCGTGTATTTAGAACTTATTAATACAAATGGGGGGTAAAATTGACTTATTATTGTTATTTTTTTATTTTATTTTATTCTTGTTTTGCAGGTTGAAGGCTGTTTTAATCACAGATGAAAACTAGCCCTTTTTGAATTGGCCGGCGCTTTGAGATATTTTGATTTTGAACAACACGTAACACAGTTTCTGGAATTTCGTTAAAAAGAACTACCCAGCATTCAACTGTCATCATGTCTTTCGATCCCACACATCCCGATTTTGAATATCTGGCTGTCGACCGTAAAAAATTGATGAGAGAACAAACCCAGACGTTCGACGGTAAGAAGGCCTGTTGGGTTCCTGACCCAAAAGAATCCTTTCTCGCTGGAGAAATCCAGAGTACCGAAGGTGAAAAAGTTACAGTCAAGATCACTAAAACAAATGAGGTAAAACATTTTAGTAGAAGAATATAGTTTATCAGTGTATTAGCCTTTACACAATTCTGAACAGTGACATCCCGTTTATCCAAACTCTTCCAGATAGATGTTATATCAAATGAAATGAAATAAAATGGGGTTTAACGTCCTACTTTCTGCTCTAACTAAGCTAATGAAGACGGACTTACGCCATACAGTGTGCTGTGAGGGAAATTTTGTCCGGATAGTGGCGCTACGGCCTACTATATTTCGTATTCTAACTACTAAGTTAGTGTTCTTTTACGTGCACACCGTCTTGTCAGGCGCTCCGTCCTGCACCACAAGATGCTATTGGTGTACTAGTATCCTATCTTATTATTATCATTGGTATCACTATAGGTAAAATTTTCCTCAAATAATTGCTAATATTTTATTTTTATTTTTTTAAGACAAAAACTTTTAAGAAAGATGACCTACAGCAGATGAATCCACCCAAGTTCGAGAAAATCGAAGATATGGCTAACTTGACCTATCTGAACGAAGCTTCGGTACTTTACAACTTGAAAGCCCGTTACGAAGCTGGCTTTATCTATGTAAGTACTTACTCAGTATCAAATAATAATACAGATTGACCATGATCAGTTTTTAGTGAATGTGAAAGCTCATTATTTTATTAGTAAAGATATCTTATTTAGTCTCTAAATTGAAAGATAAATTAACAAATATAGTTATCTGATTTAATCAATTGACTTATAAGCTGGACTAATCCGATTAACTATCTGAATACACAATTAAACACGATCATCAATATAGGAAACTGTATAAACGTTGTATCGTCCATGTTATTAAATTGCCTATGTCAATCCAGACAATAAAATATTAATTATAACATCTATGTCTTAATATTGCCCCATATATTATAATATTATATTTTAGAAACTTATAGTAAAGGCACATGCCATATTTTTCTGAAGAATAATTCGTTTCTATTCATGATCATCGAGGCCAGGGCTGTGTCTTACATAGATTAGTTATAATTATTATTATTATTTAATCGTCTAAATTACTAAATAAGGAAAACAGCTGTTGGCCTTCTAGCCTATTAGGGCTATAATAGGTCTAATTACACAAGAGATTACAACTTTACAGAATATTGTCCTTGAAAACAACAATTAAGAATGAATGTTTTTTGGGGTTTTTTTGTTTGTTTTTGTTTTGTTTTTATTCAAAATAGCATTCATTTCTTCTAGAAAATAAGATGCAGCAACAGGAAACATATTTAGAATGTAAACAACTATTTATAACACTATCTTAAATATATAATTACGCAACGTTATGATAAGTAAAATTCCTTTGAGTGGTTAGGCTATAGAAATACCCAATAAATCTTAACGACCTATAAATGTCCTTGATAAACAGAGATAATCGCCAATTCTATCTTACAGTTTATATCTGGCTCTACTATTCTGATATTTTCGGAAATAGAAGCGTGTGCCAAAAATCTACCCTAGACAACGGGACCATAGTGACCTTCAAACATGTCATGGAAATAATTAAGTTCACATGATAATTTTTATACGCAGTCCTGGATGGAGTTTCTATTTTATTTATTTATTTATTTATTAAAGAAAACATAACATATCTTGCTTCAAATATTTATTCAAGGTCATTATGGATTGAAGTATTTCTTTATTTAATAATTACATTTAAACAAAATATAACGCATTATTTAATGAACCATGTTACAACAGGGAATAATGGAATTATTCTATCTTTGAAACGCATAAAACTCACTTCTACAGATTATAAAAAACAAAATTTCAGTTTCTAAAAGTAGACATTGGTGTGTCTGTCTCTAAGGTCTTTGTTATTTAATTAAAAACTTATACATGAACTTTTCATTGCTACAGACCTACTCCGGACTGTTCTGTGTCGCCATCAATCCCTATCGACGTCTACCAATCTACACCATGAGTATTATTATCAAATACCGTGGTAAACGAAGAGTGGAAATGCCTCCCCATTTGTTCTCTATTGCTGACAACGCCTACCAATACATGGTAATGGGTAAGTAAGAAGAAGGTTTGGATATTTTACCTGGTGAAATATTTCTTATTACACAAGTAAACTTGCAAATTATCGAGCTGATTAAAATCAGATATTTTTCAATTTTATATTCCGTATTTTAGATTTTATCGGATTCCAGTTATTTTATATTTGACAAGTTTTATCATCGCGCCATGTTCTTACTTGTGCACCGTATACAGCCAATAAAACGTATTCACCACAAGATCTATTTTTAACTTCACTTAAGTTTCGTGCATAACATAGCCGATGTAAACAGCGTGGCCATTAGACGCTCTGATAAACCTTCGACTTCGATCCGAGTACAAAATCAGAAATAAAGACAAAATTCATAGTTTTAATTAGACTGGCTATCTATTAATTAAAAGTTGATACATATTTATGAGAAGACATACGCCCACTCTATTTAACATTTTGCCTTGTGTTGGTTTAAGGTAACCTCTAAATAAGACCCTTTGTTCTCCTGACCAAGACTTAATATTGATTTAGTAATTATATTAATAGCCAGGTATTGGGTTAAGACGACGAGCCGGGCTAGTGAGTGTAAGGGACAATATTTCTGGAAATTGACTTTATGTGACAAACTTTAGGACCAAATGTACCAGATTAAGCCGTAAATATATAATCTTTCGAATCACACACACACCAAAAAAACAGTCTTGTCCAAAAGTAATTTGACCAAATACCATAACATATTTGTTATTATTTTCTATTAAATTCACGTCATTTTTAGTCACCAATATTCATCTGTCGACGCCTGAATTGTAATTTATTTCTATCCACGCAAAAGAGTGACCTTAATTTCTATATAGAGAGAGAGAGTGAGAGAAAAGAGAGAGAGAGAGAGAGAGAGAGAGAGAGAGAGATGGGGTTTGATGTCCACTCGACACAAACTAGGTCATTTCGGGACTAACACATGGTTCAATTTTATTTCAATAATTCGCTTGCACGTAGGGGTCTTTAGCAGTGGGAGGACCAGAGGACCCGTAGAAAACCCACGAGGATGGACAGGTGACCATGCTCCTTGTCACGTACAACCGGGGAAGTGAAACTATGCCAGTTGATTCAATGACAGACCTTATGATACAGCGCGCACGTGCTAACCATTCGGCCACCCAACTCCCATAAATTTCTATATAAAGAACACATTTAGCACCAGCCGCTGCGTCTTTAAATAAAGGGATTCTAATAATAAATAGTCAGTAAATGGGCATTAACGTTAACTGCCGTGTATTGTAAGGAAGTTTTTAAGTTTAACACGCGTGCCGTATCTTTGTCGACACGCGCCCAGCCGGCCCAACATGTTAAATGTCAAACTGGCGTCTGCTCGAACCGCAGTCTTCCTTATATGGTAAATGGAGGAGGTCTGCGACTGATGTCAGTCAGTTTATCTCGGCTGAGATATGAAGAGCTACAAGTCTTACAATATGAACTGTACGTCTAAATATCAAAGGTCGTTTGACTCACCACATCATATTCTAACATAGGCCTAATATCTTATCACTGATATTATACACACAACATACTTCTACATCAAAGAACCAACCAAATTGTTTCATGGCTATAATCTAAAATTTAAAAAATATAAAACTACATGTATTTACAAATAAATGAAAGAACAAAATTCAGGTATGTATGCAGAACTGCAAAATGAAATGGGGTTTAACGTCCTACTGTTCTGCTCCAATACTGGGCTAATGAAGACGGACATAAGCCATACAGTGTGCTATGAGGGAAATTTTGCCCGGGCAGCGGCACTATCGCCTACTCTTATATCGAATTCCAACTGCCAAGGGATCTTTTACGTGCATTCCATGTATACACGAGACCTCGGTTTTTCGTCTCATCCCAAGGACTAGACAGCTGTCCTTGTCAGGCCCCCCGTTCTGCACCTCTGACACGGGGAAACCACGTCGGAAAATCCATATGAACTTTCTCGGCCAATGCAGAGATCGAACACCCGACCTCCAGGCTAGCGAGCCAGCGTCTTAACTGCAATTTAAAAACTTCTACGGTGTGCTGTCAAAGTAACGAAAGGGGGCACATTCCAACAGAAAATATTTCTTAAGATTAGTTAAATCCATAAATAAAGCATTATTCTGGTAGACCATAAGTAGGACAATTGTACATTTTCTGAATAAACAATAAATGTATGTCTATAGTCCTTTGAATGGGACCAAAAGTCTATGCACACCCGTATGTTGGTCCCAAAATGTCCGAAGTATTATGTTGAAGAGTGGTTAAACTCCATTCTTATACTATCTGATAATTTAATGTGTCAATCATATTTCTTCTATTACTTACTTCAAATTTTTATAATGTTCATATCAAAAAAACACAATACGCCAACATGCAAATTCAGCGTCAAAATTGAATTTGTCCGTCATTTTCATATTTCCACTCCTATTTCCCAAATTTTACCGGGGGGGGGGGGGGGCTAGCGGGCGCGTCCCCGGTGTCGTTCTCCGTGGACCGTCAAGTGCGCCAAATTACTCCAGTATGCAGTCTCAAGAGGCATTGCTGCCGTTGTTACGATAATAGACAAAGTTTCGATTATCCATTTTTAAATTAAATCATTAACTGCCAATCGTATTTAAAATTGCTGAATGTCAAAACCATCAAGAGAGTTCACTATGGGGCTTGCATTTAAAGAAATGTATAATTAATGATTTATACGCTTGAGGCCAAACGAAAGATCTGCATTAGAAGCATCTTTAACCTTAAATGATCTGAGTTTTGACCTTAGCAATTGGCAGTCTATTAACCTAACTTGGCACGGTGCCGTATTTTATATCCTGAAAATCTTCAAAATTCTAGAATCTTGCTGTGATATCCGTCAACACAATTTTTACATCACTAGAAAAAGCTGCAAGCCGCAGATACTTGGTTTTCAGAAATTTTAAAAATTCAAAACAATAAAAATACATGAAAATTGAAACTATTTTGGGTTTCAACCCCAATCTCCCCATCCAACCTCACCCGCTTTAGATTCGTGTACGTTACAAATAAATAAAGCTGAAATATAGGATGGTGAAAGTTTTCAATTTGATTAAAATAGACATGCTGGTATCTGGTTATTCGTGGGGTTTTGAAATTAAACACGCATTAAACACGTGAAATATGTTAATTGATAAGACATATTTAGATATATGTTGAGTAATAAACTATACATATGGCGCGACTTAAACTTGGATACAATTTAAACAAAATAATTTCAGAAATTCTTGTTCTTTAGGTAAAGAGCACAATTCTTTCAAGAAGGAAAATCTAGATATGATATATACTGTACATAATTATATTTCTGTCCAATGAAGCGCGCTTGGTGCTCTTACTGAGAAGTGTACAACTTTTAACAAGAAAGTTAATATAAGACGCAATATAAAATTACCCATACCAACCCATCCCTATTCCGCGTTATATAACAAAGTCACTGGAGCTAAATACGCAAAGCAGTGGCTTGTCAGCGCTAGCCATAAAACAATGCGGCCACGTTTCTTAAAATCCATTTAGAATTAGCCAAAGTATAATCAAAATGTACCAAGAATAAATCAATTAAGATAACGGGAATGAATTGGTGATATTTCGTCATTGTTCCTGTTCTACATTCCGAAATAAGACATGTTTTGCCTTTCATGCATCAGCTCTACACTCAAACTCGGGGACGTGTGTGTAGTTTTTTTTTTGTTTCTTTTTTTTTTGGGGGGGGGGGGGACGTCATGGTGGTATATTGTATATTATTAAAATTTTACATGAAGAATTTTTTGCATATAAATATATGAAATCGTTTACTGTTCAATGATATAAAATATTCATTACCGTTTTATATTTACCTTTCAGATCGTGAAAATCAGTCTATGTTGATTACGTAAGTAATACCTATTGCAGTTACTAATTATTCGTCCATTTTGGTATTTTTATACCCTGACTTTCTCAGCCAAACACATAACATATGCCAATGAAAGTTATAATACTTTTATTTCCTAAAATAAGATATTTATATATCCATTCGACGATTCAATCCAGATTGTATTTTGTCCTGACAGTAAATTTTGAAATAACATCCTTTATGAAAGTACCGAATGTTTATTATTATTATGAGTTGTCTAAATGGAGTTATCCCCCGTAACCTGGTTTGCGATCAATGCGGTTATAGATTACATCTTCACGATAAAGTTTAGAAAAGGGAAGTACGATTTTAATTATTTGATATACAACATAGAATTTGAACCTTTAGTTCTGGGTCTAATAGTAATATAATCTGCGGAACAGCCGTTAACCAGACGGCCCCGGGTTCAAACACGGTGTTGGCCGAGAAAGTTCCAGCCTAATTTCCCCTGTGGTGTTGGAGAACGACCTGGCAATGAACAGTGAATAGTTATCGGATGGGACGAAACCTGTGGCCCGTGTAGACCCCCTACGGGTCGGCGCACACGTAAAAGAACCCTTGGCAGTTTTAGACAAAAACTAGGCGGAACAGCGGATGTCCAAGTAAATGTCCCTCATAGCTTGTGACCGTCTTCATTATTCCGAACGGTGCAGAAGAGTTGGACTTTAATCCCTGTTTAATTTTTTTTCATTTCGTTAAGCGACCGGTGTGTGTGTGTGTGTGTGGGGGGGGTTATCGTTGAAAAATATGCACATCATTCTCCAACTAACGCACATCATTGCTGCCTTCACGTGAATTGAATTAGTTTGAGATCTAAATCATTACCCTATCGGAATAAGGTTTTAAATATTTACTTGATCCAAAATTTAATTTAAATCAGTTGAATATATTGTTTTGATGGCTGTCTCTCTTACTAATACGTACCCATCGCTGTTTTCATCATTATCTTCTGTTTCGTGTACATTATAATACCACTGTTTCCTCCCACCTGATGGCGCAGTTTGCACATCTCTAGTTAACCTATCTCGCTTGTTGTCTGATTATGTTATTCCATTTTTACCCGGCAGTGGTGAATCTGGTGCCGGTAAGACTGAAAATACCAAGAAAGTAATTATGTACTTCGCTCACGTGGCCGGTAAAACTAAAGAGAAGGACAGAGAAGGCTCGGGGGAAAAATCCCTAGCTGTAAGTGTCCTGTTCTATTTGGACATGTCTACTACTTCTATATACGCATATAATCGTACTACTTCTATATGCTTAATACTTCTTTATCTCTGTATAATTAAAGGAACTAAACCTCTTTGATTTGGGTCAAATCGTGGAATTCGATTGATTTGGTGTGTCATTTGGATTAGCGAGACAAGGTCGAATCTGGTCGCCTAAAAATTAAGCGGATGTCGGTTTGTTTACATATTTGTTTCGGGGTTGGCGGAACACAGAGCCAGTTATATCTCATGGTTGATTTTATCTGTGGACTTTTATGTAAACAGATCCGATTTCGCAAAACAAATCAAAACATCAAATTTAATCAAATTGTCACTTTTATTTTTTACTCAAATCGAAGAGGCCTTGTCATTTTAACTGCAAATTACATTTACATTTGACGTCGGATATTTTTATTATTCAAAATTTACGTAAAAAAGAGTAGGGCCTGGTGTTATGGGGGCCATTCAATTTTATATTTACCATTGAATGCCATAGGTCAAAAAAGCAAAAGAAATTTAAGTAAAATTTAAATTCAGACGCTAGAAAAAACAATGTCGTGGCACCTGGGACCACATTTTCAAAGTATTTGAAAACATTAAGATTTATTGAATCTGTTCTTCTTCAATCGACATTGGGACGTTTGCGAGGGTTTAAGCAAATTGCATTTCAAGGAAACTGTACAGCTTAAATCATTTAACCGTTAAATGTGATTTCTTTTAAAGCGGCTTTATTATAACGCTTTTGTAAATAAGCCTGAAATATAAAACTTAAATGATGTTTAACGTTACTAGCTATGTATTTACTGATCATTAAACAGTGGCGAATCTGGTGCTGGTAAGACTGAAAACACGAAAAAGGTCATTCAATATTTTGCCCATGTTGCGGCTAAATCACATAAAGAAAAAGAAGAAAAAAAGGAGGAGGAAGGCAAAGCAGAGAAAAAGGTAGAGAAATCACATTTCGTGTGACAGCACGGCGTGGATTCCCCCGCTCCCACCATCCCATTCCATCACATACACTTCGACCCAATTTCCCCTCTAATCCCAGTTCCTCATTAGTTAAAAAAACGCCATATTGTTTACAAGTAGTTTGAACAGTTATAAACAGTTAAATCCTTACTAACTTTTAATTTTTAATATGTTACCAATCATCTAAATCAAATAATTTTACTAACAGATTGTGCTTATTTTTTAAATATTTTATAATTATTTTTAAAATATTTTATAATTATTATTAACTTTATAAATATTTTATAATTATGTTTTTTTTTAAATATTTTATAATTATTTTTCAAAAATATTTTCCAATTATTTTTCAAAAATATTTTCCAATTATTTTTCAAAAATATTTTCCAATTACTTTTCAAAAATATTTTCCAATTATTATTTTTTTTAAATATTTTATAATTATATTTTTAAAATATTTTCTTATTATCTTTTTAAATTATTTTTTATTATTTTTCAAAAATATCTTTTATAAATATTTTTTTTATAATTATTTTATAAATATTTTTAGAATTATTTTATAAATATGTTTTAGAATAACTTATAAATAATTTTTAGAATTATTTTATAAATATTTCAAAATTATCTTTTAATTATATTTGAATGATTTGTTATTTTGAAATTATTTTAGAATTATATGTTAATTATTTTTTTTAATATTTACTATTTTTAAGTATTTATTAGATATTTCTTTTCTTTCAATATTTCTCCTAATAATGCAATCTTGAAGATTTTAATATATTTCTCATAATCGATATAAAATAATTTTATTATTTTAAAACTGTTATTTAATTTTGTTTTTCATTAGTTTTTCATTATTGTTAAATTACGTATCCTTCCAATACAATCTTGAAAATAACTTTATCTCATACAGTATATATTAAATCATAATCTCCTGTTAGCAACACAGAAAGGGTTCACATTTTGTTAATATTAGTTCGCATAATTATACCTTTAATAGAGCATGTAGGACTGCATGCATTATGTCCTACAAAATAAATGATTAGTGTTCCAGGCAAAAAAACAAAAACTTATTTGAACAGAGTTCTTTACCGACCTAAAAATAATTAGATAATGGTTTCACGAGAGAATGTTTTCAGAAAGTAAATTTTTAAGATCTAAAGCGGGATTATGGCTTTTGTGTTTGGTGCCTTGGAAATTATTCATTTTGTTTAGACTTAGCTGTGCACGCTAATACCCGTGTTTGTTTAATTATTTTATTTTTAAAAGGTAATGTATTGTTTTAATTTGATCTTATGAAATTTATTCTAGTCAATTCTAAATTTCTAGGGCTATGATATTGCACATTATTAACTTAAAACATTTGAATTTTATTGTAATAATACAGTTGCTGTTAAACACCTGAATATCACACTAGCGCAGAAAAGAGTTATTTCTTATTCGTTTCTATTGCAAAGTCCCAGCAAGTCCCTTTTAACATTAATTTTTATAAAGAAATAACTTCTGTAATGTGATAGTCTCCCATTGATAAATTATATAGCTTATATTTATGTATTGATTTATGTTAATCTGGTCACTTCTACTTCTTCCTCTCTCTCTCGTCGATCTGCACCTTAACACATGACGTGTCGTGCTACATTCTGTACGAAACTAACCCACCAAACCCCTCTACCAAAATACCACATGCCTAATACACGGTTTGCTGGAAGATAAAATTGTCCATGCCAACCCTATAAGAGAAACAATCACAGTAACTCTTCCAGCCTCATCAGCACTGCAACATGAGGAATATAAAACACTTGTTAGGACTGATGCCCAAATCGCATCTGAGACCAGATATTATGCTCTCGTGGACATTATTCGGCCTCAAATAACCAAACACTTCTTTTTTTATAATTACATAATTTCCTTTATCAAGTGGCAACTATAGAATACTTTCTAAATATGTTGTAATTTGTATGTTTTCCCATTTTCTCTTCGCATTAACAATATTCAGGCAGGATCTCTTGAGGATCAAATCGTACAAGCTAATCCAGTATTAGAAGCTTACGGCAATGCTAAAACACTTCGTAACAACAACTCCTCAAGATTCGTAAGTAACTGTGCCCTAAAACCTAACGCTGAGTTACCTTTGTGAAGACGTGACATTTGTATCCTTTCCTTTGCACGAGCACATACCTTTCTTTCACCACCTTGGATTTCCAATTTCCAATCATAAAGAACCCAAGCACTTTTCGCAATTTATCACTACAATTACCTTTAAAAAATTTCCGCCACATAATCCATGTTGAGTTTCAGCCCAAATTGGACGTGTATACATACAATCTAAAATCTTACAATTTTTTTTTACAAATTCACCGCATGAGCGCAACTTCAATATTTGAAGAAATCGAATTACAAACAACGAGAGTTATTTACGACCTCCCTTTATGCGTAAATAATTATGTTGAGATTTACCCCAAATTGAACGCGGATACATACAATCAAAAATCTTACAAAATTTTTTAAAAATTCACCGCATGAGCACAACTTCAATATTTGAAGAAATCGAATTACAAGGGGAGTTATTTATGCGTAAATAATTATGTTGAGTATCACCCCAAATTAGACGTGGATACATACAATCTAAAAATTTACAATTTTTTTAAAAAAATTCACCGCATGAGCGCAATTTCAATTTTTGAAGAAATCGAATTACAAACAACGAGAGTAAATAACTACATCCTGAATTTTTCACTTTTATCCTTTTACTTCCTCCTTTCTTGTATTTTCTTATTCTTTTGCTCGGAGTGACCTCATTATCCTTATCTCAGTGTTGTTTAATCCATATGTGACACCACCCCGATGTTGAGGCAACATCAACATGTCGCTTACCTTTTTATCATGTATGTTTTCTTTCCTCTTTTCCCCCGAATGCTCCTGTCTATACAGGGTACCTTAGAAGACCAAATCATTCAAGCTAACCCGGTATTAGAAGCGTACGGTAACGCCAAAACAATTCGAAATAACAACTCTTCCAGATTCGTAAGTATTCGACCCAATTCTGTTTGACGAAAATTGTCTTTTATTATTCTGACCAAAAGTATGTACATATACCTGTATAATAATCCTAGGCATGGACTGTTGTATTTGATAATGTTTTTTTTTTTAATATCGTTGCCTTCGGCCGACAAAACTATTGGCAGTCAGAATATGTCACTTTAATTTGTAAAAATAATTATGGAGAAAAATAAATAATTGGTAAGTTTTATAATGGCCCTCTTTCTAAGGCAATGTGGAAGGATAATTTTCTCTTTCCTCGCAATATTGTATACAATACTTATTGTGTGACACTTGCTCTAGAAACAGTAAGCATACACTGCCTCGCCAGCAACACTGACCACTTTTTTTATAGCTAACTTGAGCAATGCTTTGGACCTGGATTTTAGAAACCGATGGCTAATGAGTAGAAGATAACCTCCGCAATGCCACGTATGTGCTAAATTCGTGGTATGGGTTGTGTCATAAGGCTAAACGCGGTGTAGATGGTGGGAAAATGATGTAGCATTTATTATTAGGATGCCCGATTATTGTGCTAAAAATGCAGCGTATGGTGAATAATGATGTGCTGGTCGTAGTGTCACAAATATGTTGACAGAAAAAGGTCCCCATGAAACCTCCGACTAGAAGCGTTTAGGCACTATACGATCAAAACCTAAATTTTTTTGTTTGCTTGGTTTTTCATTCTGAACGATATTTTTGTACGGCACGATTCTTTCATTGACCATATTATTCAAATTTAATAACGTGGGAAAGGATCTTTAAGGCATCATTATTCTGAATTCGTGTGTTTTGGACATCAAAGAATCCCCATATATCCTTTCTTTAATAAACTGATTACTAATGAAAAATAAATGAATTAATGAATTACATCATTTTGTTTATTTATAAAAGTAGTATAAAGAAGTACAAGTATTTACTTACCATGACTTCTCCATATGTTATAATATGATCTTATCATCTGATTTAGGGTAAATTTATCCGTATCCATTTTGGTACTCAAGGCAAAATCTCTGGAGCTGATATTGAACAATGTAAGTGAATATTTAGCGTGTATTATGATCTACCTGTAAATAATTAAAAAAAATAAACATAAAAATAAAATCGAAACATGGCATATTCTATCTGCAATTAATAAAGAAATTAATTAAACATGAACCGTACATAAAAAAACCCAGATATCTTGACCTATAAAGATGCATTGTGTAAGAGCTAAATCTACTTATTGCGGGTCTTTAATTTGGCTTCAATTTTATATAAACTATTATTTAGCCATGTATTCACTTGACAACCCTATAATCAACTTTCTGGGCCATCGGATAGACGAGATTTAATTGGATTAAACCGCGAACGCCATTTAATAACTTAAAACAAAAATGGATAATATTTTCAATATATTCTATTTTTGAACTATACTCTTCAAAAAAAGTAGGGGATATTGTAATGGAGATACCTATGCAGCTTGTGATATGATAAATAGTCATGGACACTTGATATGCTTTGAGAGTATGTTCACAGATGAAGAACTTATCGCCCCAACAGAACTACTGAGCTGCATGTGCGACACGCAATAGCGCCGTACACGTGGGAGGGGTTCATTGTCAAATTTGACACTTCAAGGAAGGGTTGATGAAAACTGACCCTTGCTGGTTTATCCTATCCTTGTTTGCTTTCCTATCGGTTCTTGCATAGGATTGAGTGTTTAGCGTATCTTTGCTTTAGTGTGTTACGTTTAATTTGATCGTAGACGTGTTCGTCGACGTCAACGTCAAACGACAACACTGCATGAATTGGCCGTGGCACTGCAAAAGGAGTGGGTCAGATTGCCCCAAATCGTGATTGGACGGTTGATTAGGAGCACGCCACGACGAATTGCTGAATGTCTGAGGATTGGTGGAGCAATTACTCATTATTAAGAGAAAAATCAAAAACGTCCATTTTCACTTTTGACAGTGTATCTCTTTGCGAGTGAAATGCGGCCGTCAGATAAGCCGCCCATATGAACTGTTTATGTTCATGTGTAGGCAATTGGCCTGTTATTAACATACACTGTTTACCTCTAATAAAAACAGCAGTGCATTTCCGCAGTTTTGTATTGTTTCTGAATATCCCCTACTTTTTTTTTGAAGAGTATATTATAGCAAGAACGACCAGCTGTTTATCTAAATCTTATATATAATACATCTTAAAGATAGTTCCTTTAGCGTTCTCTTCTCTGGATTACAGAATGAATGCATGTTTGATAAATGGATGTGTCTGTGTACGTGTGAATCTGGTTGGTGCAGAAAAATAGGGCGTTAAACAACGTTTCATTTATTTTCGCGTATGTAGGTGTTGCTTTAAAGTATTATACATATTACTGGTTTATGTTTACAGATTTGTTGGAGAAATCTCGGGTCACTTTCCAGCGACCTGGTGAAAGAAATTACCATATTTTCTACCAGCTTCTGTCCAATGCTATCCCAGAAATTACAGGTTTGTGTTACCATATTCTTTAATGAAATACACTGTAAAATATTTTATTTTAGTACGTGTTAACTAAACTTCATCAATCTGGCTAACTTTCATAATTATATACGTATATTTCGCGCACTTTATGTATGCCAGTCCAATTAGTATTGTCTGTGGAACTAGTTATAAATATAAGTGTTCCAAATTACTTCTTGTAATACCGAAAAGATGTTATTTTGAAAGGGCTAATTATGTAATGCTTGTTCTTATACAGAGAAGCTATTATGTAGCCCAGACCCAGCTCTCTATAATTTTGTTAACCAGGGAGCTATTACAGTCGACAATATCGATGACAACCAAGAAATGAAGGATACTGATGTAAGTATAAATTCAAATAATTTGAAGAGTAATTTTAAAATGCAAAAATCATTTATCGTCATATCTTTCTAAAAAGACTGTGGAGCGTAATGATACTAAAAAAGAAAGCAATCATTCTTTAATGAGGAGATGGTCGACAAAGTCACATGTCTCGCATATGTGGCATTGGAAGCTTAGCTGAAGGGATGTATACGGAATTCGGTTTCTCTTTTTCTTTTCTTTATAAAAAGAACTCAAGGACCTATATATGTGATTTTCAGGTCGCCTTCGATGTTTTGGGTTTCACTCAAGAAGAGAAAACGAGTATGTTCAAATGTACAGGAGCTATCATTCATTTCGGTGAGATGAAATTCAAACAGAGACCAAGAGAAGAACAAGCTGAAGCTGATGGCAATGCCGGTGAGTTGTAAAGATATCATTGTAAGCTATGTCAGTGAGAAGGGGTTTTGGCCAAAATTACACAAGTTATGTTAAAAGCAAATGGGCATTCTATTTAAATGATAAAAATAACCGATCAATTATTTCAGAGGCTGAAAAGGTTGCCTTTTTGTTGGGTGTCAATGCTGGAGATTTGGTCAAAGGTCTTCTGAAACCTAAGATTAAGGTCGGTAACGAATTTGTGACCCAAGGTCGTACCAAGGAACAAGTTATATATTCAGTCGGTGCTTTGTCAAAGTCCACATATGATCGTATGTTTAAATGGTTGGTTGTCCGTGTCAACAAGACCCTGGATACTAAAGCTAAAAGACAATTCTTCATTGGTGTACTGGATATTGCTGGTTTCGAGATTTTTGATGTAAGTAGATTAATGATAAGACTGTATTACGATTGTAAATAGTGTGTGTCTAATTTGTTTAATCTAATAGCCGGTACAAGATCTTGTAATACAAAAATGACACGACGTGACGTTATATGATATTTGATCTCTTTTTTTTTAAATAGTTCAACAGCTTTGAACAGATTTGTATCAACTATACCAATGAACGTCTACAACAGTTCTTCAACCATCACATGTTTATCTTAGAGCAAGAAGAATACAAAAAGGAAGGCATTGAATGGGAGTTCATTGATTTTGGAATGGATTTACAAGCTTGTATTGATCTTATCGAGAAGGTAATAAATTCTAGCGGGCTACTGTTGAGAATTGTATGGATTTACTTTAAAATCATTTTTTCTCGGGTTGAGTGGTATTTTTATTGGCCAACACATATTAATTAATTGTCAAATTTGAATTAGTTATCGTGTAATTTGTGTTTCGGGAGTGGATACTCTACTTTTAAATCATCTTTCTCAGAATTAAATATCATTTTACTGACCCATACCATTTACTTGTGTCTTGTCGGTTACAGCTTATCCTATAGGAGGTTCGCATTGATCGCTTGTTTTGTTGAATACAACATCGTTTAGTTTTTATGTGTAACTGTATTGTATGCTAGATCCGAGGCGATGCTTTGGTGATAAAGGGGGCAGTTAGTGGAGATTTTGTCCATTATTTTATTCCCTGTCTTTTTAGTTAGTGGATATGTGTATGTTTTACTATATTAATATTTCAGCCTATGGGTATCCTGTCCATCTTAGAAGAAGAGTGTATGTTCCCTAAGGCAACTGACCTTTCCTTTAAAGAAAAGTTATACAACAACCATTTGGGCAAATCACCAAACTTTGGTAAACCAGTTGGTAAGAAACTCAAAGGTGAAGCTCACTTTGAACTTCATCATTATGCTGGTACTGTACCATACAGTATTACTGGTTGGTTGGAGAAAAACAAGGATCCTTTGAATGAGACTGTGGTAGAAATTCTTATTCATTCGAAAGAAGCTTTGGTATCAACTCTCTTCGCCCCAGCAGGTAATTTATTCACACTTACAACTCGTTCATAAAATAGATTTAAATTTGTGGGAATTTGATTGTATCAAACGTTGATACGGAGAACTAATGTTATGGGACATGCATGAGACAGTCAGGGACTGGAATAAACGTGAAACAGATATTCCAACAAGCATAAAAATTTTTTTATAAATTTAGTGTTGAATTCATAAATGTTTCTTTTTCATCATCTTTTTATTAAATAAATGTAATTTGTATTTATTTAGCCGATGATGGCTCCCCACCAGTACGTAAAAAGGGATCCAGTTTTATGACGGTATCTTATCGTCACAGGGTAGGCACATAGATTTGTACAGAAACAACCTATAATAATCACTTTTTGTCTTGTAACTGCCAAATTTGAAAAAAATAACAAATTTCGAGTATAAAAGTATTGAAAAGAAACATGACTTATTTCGCTACTTCTGGTCGTCATCCGACCAAATTTCAAACTGTAGATGCCGTAATTCCAAAATAGGAATACTTTAAATGCCGAAAAAAATGATTAAAGAACCAATGCGAATGAAAGAAATTGGGATGATTATGTAATTTTATAATAATTGTATCGCATCATGATACATATACTTGTTGAAACGCTACTAGACTACGAGTAAGAATGTAACAGGTTCTTAGGACGTGGTGTAGAAATGGCCATGCTGGCCATTGCACGCTTCAGTAGAAGTAAATGCTTAAAGATGGGTTCCCAGAAAAGTATTTATCGGGTGGTTATTTCCAATAAAAGTATGGCAATTTTGGTATATATGGAAAGTAGAGATATCCAATCTTACTAGAAAAATACTGGATTCCCCGAAAAACACTCATGGAGGGTATACAGGACAAAAATGTAACGGTTCCCCTAATCAACAGCCCGACGATTAGGAACTTCTGCACGCGTGATGTCAAAGGTCACAAGCGAACATTGAGCGCTTGATGTACAAGTTGATAAACTTTATGAAGAGTTAGACGTACAATACTTTCTGAGATAAGAATGATGGAAAAAGACGCGGGTAGTGGATAGTCCGACAATTTAATTAGGATTCGATATTTGTAATAAATAGTAAGCGATTAAAGACAACATCGTCTTATGTATGCAATGAATTCTCCTCTGACTCCCAAGACGTGACGTAAACATGACCTGGTTTGATCGAATTTTAATAGCAGGGCATTCCTTCTCAATTACAATGTTTGAGAAGGATTTGAAGCATAATTATGACAAATTAATTAGTTTGAATATGCTTTTGGTCCATATATACCATTCAATCACCCAATTTGTACGCGGGAACCCATCTTTAAATATTTCCATCAATTTAAAAGTTATTTAAACCCAAACATATTCTTAAGTCGGTAGAAGTATCTTAAATATTTTTATAAGTTTGAAAACGTTTTTAAAAGTATACATTATATTTTTAAGTAGCAGACTTTCGAAGAGCAACTTTGTTTATCAGTGACTGAACAAAAAAGTGATTATATAGGGATCATTTCACATCTGTTGTACTTATCGATGGCCAAGCAAGTACAATAAATGTGAAAGTTTCTGATATATTTTTTATTTTTTTTTATTAAATCCGCTTTTAAAACGTATCTTATGATATTTTTGATCAGAGGAGGGCGCCGGTGGTGGTACCCAGAAGAAAAAGAAGAGTTCAGCTTTCCAGACCATTTCAGCCACACATAGGGTACTTTAAGCATGCCACGTGCGTGAGATGTGTGTGGTTATGTCCTCTTGACTTCTCTTTAGCCGTAAACTCCTATGCATGCAATAGTTTATTTGATACCTGCACATTTTGAATCTACATACCGTTTGAATTATTTTCCCGATTTACATTTTACCCAGGAGTATCTTAGTGTTTGCATGTACCCATGACAACAGAAACCATTGTATTGCAATTCCTCACAAAACCCCCACACTCCTCCTTAGCAACATTCACATCAGATTAAACATCCCCTTACGCAGTTATCATTGGAGTAATTAGCTTAGACAACCCATTTCCTACCGATATTTGAAAACCTAGACTTTGATTTTGCTATGGAATTGAAAGAAATATATTTACTGACATTTTGAATATAGTTCAACCAAAAAGGTCATGTGATCACTATACTATATTTCTTATGTAACGTTATTTCACAACTTTGACACACACGTTTGAATTTTATTTGATTTATAACAGTTAAATTTATAACCCAGTTTCCTCTATATTTGTTTCAATAATCTTTATTTCTCAAGTATATTTTAACTTTAAAGTCATTTTTCATTTTTAAATAATTCTTGACTTTTCAGGAATCTTTGAACAAACTGATGAAGAATTTGTACAGCACACATCCTCACTTTGTACGATGTATTATTCCCAATGAATCGAAACAGCCAGGTATACACGGACAATACTTAATTTATCTTTAATTAAATGACGAAAAAACAGGCATGTCTGTCAGCAATGAAAAGGGACAGTCTGTATTAACTGTCAAATCTGCTATTTTATCGTGATTTCTATTATGTGGTGTACAAATGGTATTGTGTCTGATAATGTTTTGGGTTTTATTTATTCAAAGGTTTAATTGATTCCCATCTGGTACTTCACCAGCTGCAGTGTAATGGTGTACTGGAAGGTATCCGTATTTGCCGGAAGGGATTCCCAAATAGAATTATATATTCTGAGTTCAAACAGAGGTGAGTGCTGATTAAGGGTTTTCTGTAATATGAAGTTTCTTGATGTTAACTCGAAGACAGAAATTAGGTTTTTGATGACTTTGATCTCGTTTTCATGACTTTTCGTGGCTAACATGTATTAATGTTGTACATTTGTATGTCAATTTTTTATATTTAATTCAAGTTTTATTAATTTTGTAATACAGATACTCCATCTTGGCTCCTAATGCTATCCCGGAAGGCTTCGTTGATGGAAAGACCGTGGCTACCAAAATTCTCCAAGCCTTGAACATGGATGTTGCTGAATATCGCCTTGGTCTTACAAAAGTCTTCTTTAAAGCTGGTGTCGTGGGTTATCTTGAAGATCTTCGTGATGAAAGGTTGACCTCAATTATCTCTATGTTCCAGGCCCACATTCGAGGTTATTTGATGAGGAAAGCCTACAAGAAACTATGTGATCAGAGGTATAAATGTTATCTATCTCTTTGCTACTACAAAATACTTCCTAAAATATATAACTTTACATTTGTTTCATTTAAAAGTTAAAGGTATGTGATAATATGAGTTTTTCTTATTTCAGGGTTGGTCTCTCTGTCATTCAAAGAAACATCCGTAAATGGCTGATGATGCGCAACTGGCTCTGGTGGAAACTTTACACCAAAGTCAAGCCTCTTTTAAACGTTGCCAGAGCTGAAGATGAGATGAAAGTCAAAGAAGAATTGTTAGAAAAAACAAAATCTGAACTCGAGAAAACCGAAAAAGTCAAAAAAGAACTCGAGGAACAGAACGTTACTCTACTGCAGCAGAAGAACGATATGTTTATCCAACTTCAAGCTGAACAAGATAACGTCGCTGATTGTGAGGAAAAGATCGAGAAATTAATCAAACAAAAGGTAGACTTCGAGGCTCAAATAAAAGAGATGGAAGAAAGGCTTCTAGACGAAGAGGAAACCGCCAGTGAACTGGATGAAAAGAAAAAGAAATTAGAGAAAGAGTGTAGTGATTTGAAGAAAGACGTTGAAGATCTTGAAACTAGTCTAGCTAAAGCTGAGCAGGAGAAACAGACCAAAGATAATCAGATTAAAACACTCCAAGATGAAATGGCTCAACAAGATGAACAAATAGCTAAGCTGAACAAAGATAAGAAAAATATGGACGAGGCACATAAGAAGACCCTTGGTGACCTCCAGGCCGAGGAAGATAAAGTTAACCATCTCAGTAAACTCAAAACCAAATTAGAACAAACTCTCGATGAGGTAAGTTACTATTTATATACCGCTTTTTAAGAAAGAAATCTACTCACATACGTCTTGATATTATGTGATATCACAGATAGTACATCAAAAATGAACTGACATGAATCTTTAATAACAACTTGATGTCAATATTTTTAAGTATAATCTCATCGTAGCTTGAAGATAATTTAGAAAGAGAAAAGAAGGTGCGTGGTGATGTAGAAAAGGCCAAGAGGAAGTTAGAACAAGATTTAAAGGCGACACAGCAAACAGTGGAAGACTTAGAAAGGTCTAAACGTGACCTTGAAGAAAATGTTCGACGAAAAGACGTTGAGATCAGTGGTCTTCATACCAAACTGGAAGATGAACAAAATCTTGTAGCCCAGCTCCAGAAGAAAATTAAAGAACTTCAGGTATTTGGGGGGCTTTTTAGTTAGTAATTTAGTTTAAGCTATTTTGATTATTTTAACTGTACTATACTTCAATTGAACACGTAGATCCTGGTATGTTGGTAGCTAAACAGGCCATTGGTTAGAAACAGTTGGTAAGTATGAAAGTGGTGGAAATTTACGAAATAAAGTTTGCTGTGAAAAACATGTGTTTTCCTCTATTTTCCTAACATCTTTACCAATTTATAACATAATCACAGATGAACAACATAATGATTTGATCTTTTAAACATAAAAATAACCCTGTGTTGAACCTTTTAACCAAATCGCCAATAATAATTTTTAGTGACCCTACATTTTATTATTCATTCTAAAAGTCGCAACATCCACTATCATGAATTGCCATATTATGTCTGCTTTTTGTGAACCGTAGCTGTATAGGGAAAAGGCCAAACACATTCGTATTAAAAGTTCTTCGGGTGTTTTAACAGGTTTTCCTGAACGCTTTAATAATATTGTACTATTCCAGCTAAGGAATTTATGTATCGTTGGTAGTATTGGCTCAATTGATCAAAAATTATATTATCTTTTTTTGTACTGTATAGGCGACTGCATAAATTATATTCCAATGTCACATTATACAACGATTTTAAAATCATCTATTTGTAAGAACAATATACATACAGGTCACAGAAAATTACAGAACCTAATTGTGTGGGCATATTTTGGAAAACCCTGCACTAGTCTATTGTCTCCCTTGAACTGTAACTATTTATGCCAGCAAACAGCAGTTTATTGTTATTATGTATCGGTGGAGATAAAGGCAGATCAACACCACAATATTGATTGAAATGAAAACACAAATCAATGAAAAGTAATATTTTTACTCTTTACTATTTCCTTTTGCTTATGATACGGTATGGGTGGGGGTTGGGGCTTAACCTTATTGTCAGCAATTGGTGCCTACCCTGGTTCTCATAGTTTCCGCCAGATTTTCATTTAAAATTAGATACACCTTTTTTCGCCAATAAAATAAAGATGTCTTTTTGTAATTTTTGGACCAGGAACTGGTCGCTAACCGCTACTCATCTTCTTGTTTTTATTCTTCTTCTTCTTGGGGTGACGCTCTTCGAAAAAGCCGCAGGCTCCGTCAATTCAAGTACGGTCGGCATGAAAATCTTCTGTTGTTATCGGACGTTGAAGAAAGTTCAGTTTTTAATATACCAACCAGGATGAGATGCTAATGACTTACTCCAGCCTATCCCAAAGATGTATACGCATCTTTAAACTATAACAACAAACCTAGCTTGTATATAAAATATAATGCATTTTATAATCACATAAACCCACACAAGAAAACGAGTATTGGTCACAGTTTCCGCCATTTTGGTTTGATATAGAAACTGTCAATAAACCGCCGATTCGTACCTGAAGACAAATAGTTATATTCCTTTGTTATTTAATCATTTTATCATTATTCTTACTCATTCATTTCCAGGCAATACACGATAATTTTGTAATCCCAAGACAACTTATAGTATTATTTACTCAACCAGTTTTGTAACTCCGTGGGTTGAAAATGTCTAGGAGGTTCAACTAATCATTCGATTTCACTGATTTCCATATGCATTTAACTTTGCTGAAACCTGTATCTTAGGAAGAGGGGTTTAATATAGGTTATGCCTGTTCCCCAATCCCTATTCAGATACAAATCTGAATAAAATATTGCTTTAAAAAAACACAGATATTATATTATGCGGGAATTTTATTTATTTAGGTTTATAATGGCTCTTTTTGATAATCATAAGTGTTAAATTTGATCTGACTTTAGTTCAGGTTATATGATCTGTTAAATTTCAAGTGCCTTAGTAATTCCCTTACCTCATCTATTCATTACTATTACAGATCTAGCCTTTATTTATTGTGTCTATGTTTAAGCAATCAACCCCTAAAAAATGGAATGTCTTGCACAAAAGAAAACGAATTCCAGAACACAAGCCCTAGTCTCTGTATGATGAATAGAAGTTAGGTTCACATCTTTGTATCATATAAGAATATTCTTGAATCAATGTTTATTTTGAAATGTAGGTAAAACTGGCAGATGCTATTACGAAACTAGTAACTACGCAGGACTTCTTCAAAAATAAACTGACATTTCTTTACACGTCATATTTTACTTAATTACGTGCCGCTACCTAGATATATTAATCTTACATATTTATAGATTTGGACATGTTTATACAAATAAATAGTTTCCACGTGTAACTTCCTTAGTCTTATCATCAGACTGAACAAATTCCAAGACAATCATATAGGCGTAACTTATGGATGATTTACATGCTAGTATTTGAAAGTAATTCAGTCTTTAATTGCTAGTGTTTCTGTTTAGTTTCTATATATCAATTTGGTAATAATATGTGTCTTTATCAGTGTGAATAACTAATTTTAAAAAATTTAGAGGCATGCATGTTATTTGGGGCAGAAGTGAAGTGAATATTGTTGAATAAATTCCAATGATCTGCAATAATCCCCGTTAGAATGAGTCAATCCGTAGATTTTATGTTAAAATTACTGTGATTAGAATGGAAGATAAGACTTTATAATGTAGTAAGACAGCTGCCAGTCAATTAATTATCTCAACCTGAAAGCTAGGGTATATGCTGTACGCCCGGGTTCTGTGTTGTGAAACATAATACACCGTCTCTCGGCTAAATAAGGAAAAGGCTGCTGTCTTGATGAGCAAGAATCTACCTAGTGTAACTCGAGACCAACATCTATCTATTTCCGCATCGACTTGAAACGACTTAAGAATGGTATCATAGCACACACACACATACGAGTCTAATTACAACAACTTTCACTTGAAAATAGTTACTGAAATAACCCTGGAAAACACTCGCGGCTTTTCGTTACTCGCCATCAGACGTAGAGCTACCGGTCGTGTGAGTCGAGTCGACGTACACACGTGTATATAAACGAGTGTAGGTAAAACGCGGTATTACTCAGGCATATTTCGGCATTCTGTTGATCTTATCTGTCAGAAAAAAATATTTGGCAAAAAAACGATTCTGTTATTTTTTTTTTTATTTTTTTTTTCGTCAACGGAAGATTCACCTTCACTATTTTGTCTCAAGGTCTTAAGTCAAAAATATCTCGGGGTGGGGATGACCTAAGCTGATTAGCATATTCGGTGTAGAAACGCCATTAAAGGAGGAGGCGTGTTGTTATGCATTATCATATGCTAGCCTCAATGTGGAGACAGTTTAACACATAGGAGTGAATCACAATGGCTTCTTGCCTATAAAGTCTTTTATCTTTCAACTTCTCTGGATTCTGATAAACTCTTGGTGTTTCGGTTAATTATACTTTTTGTGGCGAACATTTACTTTTCTGTGGCCTACCTTCACATAACTGTATATCACCGAGGAGAACACACTCGATTACTGAGAAGGCTGCATTTTTGAGATTGTTCAAATTGATAACGATTGAGTTTATAATTGGGAAGTTTTTTTCGATGCCATGGCAACGAATGAGGAAACAAACGTTACCTCAACTGCTGATGTAGAGAAAGAGAAAGACGACTTATCCAGTAGTTCACCTCAAGTTGTTAAGTCAGCCGTGGAGTCTGTTCAGCCTCAGGAAGTAACAAGTGATATACCCCCTCCCGTAGTTAAAGCCTCACCAGCACCCATGGAGACCGAAGGCGTGACACCTAAAGAAAGTATTGTCATCAAAAGATCAGTGGAGTCACAACCTGCACCAGCTCCGACGACCGCACCACCCTCAATTTCCGTAAAACCTCGACAACCAGAGGAACCTGAGACACGTCCAAGAACTAAAAAACCAGAATCGTCCACATCTTCGACAGCCAAATCATATCAGAAAGTGTCTTCATCGCGAACCAAAACTAGTTCGGATTATCAATATGGGGATTATCTTGGAGCATTATCCAGAGAATTTCGGGGCACGAGCCCAGCTGTACTTGAAAACATCGCCACTCATCCTCTTTTATATTCAAAAGCTTATGAGCCTTCGAGAAGTTCAGGTTCGAAATTAAGTTCTCGAAGTCGAAAAGTTATTCGTGACACGGCTGAGTTAGCTGCGACATGTCCGGGATTAAAGAGTCTTCTTGAAGTATAGTATATTATTAAAATTTTATTTTAAATTCTCGATTTTATTGCTTGATTAAATTGATGAAATTTTATTTGATAAACATTAATGTGTGCTATCTGTGTATGATAAATAATAATAATCTTCGTTTTTATTTATCTTAAATTGTAAATATAAATCGGTTGGTTAATAGATAAATGTTTACATGGAATTCAAAGATATCAAAGTCGTCATTTCTTAGATTTCGTCTTATCATGGCGTATTTATACTACGATATATATATCTTCCTTTTTTTCTTGCTGACTCACACCTGAAGTATTTAGCATTCATGACGTGGAGCTTTAATTTTTAAAACTGGCTCCTTAGGCCATCTTCCAATTACTAGTTGAGTTCAAGCCAGTATAATGAATTAAAATTCCCGATAAAAGGCACAAATTGTTTGAATTCGGAATAAGTGATATCAACTTTCTTGGATATATTTTCGAAGGATTATTTTGTCAGTGGCTACTTCTACTCTGATATTTCGGTGGGATAAATGTGGATATAAATATGAGTTATCATGTTTTACAGGCTCGTATTGAGGAGTTAGAAGAAGAACTTGAAGCCGAACGACAAGCTAGGTCCAAGGTAAGTAAACATTTTGTTTATTATCTAAATAAAATGGATATTTAGAAAGTTTTATGTAGGATTTAACTGTCTTTTAAATAATGATATATAAACTATCGACCGGTTACTAAGGTAATCAAAATGACATTTATCTAATCCAGTACTGACCCGCTCCAGTAAGCGAATAGTGAAAATGCAAACAGGCATTCCTAAATTACAAGTTTAGTGCCAAAGGCTACAATTACTGCATCGTTTACCCATGTGTTAGAGGTGTAAATATGGGTTCGTCTGCTATAGAACATATCTATAAATAGTAACCAGATATAGGCAGGAATCTGGTATCTAACGGTTTGCCTTCAACAGTTCGAGTCTGCATCTAGTGTAATTCTGCCAAGATGTATTCTACCAAAAATAACCGATTATACAGTAGGCTAACAATGAGCTCACCTGTTTAACAATCGAGACTCAATACATTTAAGGCTTTGAAACAATCATAATAAAATTAAAAGATTGTTTTTTATAATCAATTTTCTACCCCATCTTCCCATATTCTTGTATTGTTTAATTATTCATACAACTTAAATTAAGTCATAAACAAGACAATAAAGTGTATCATAATTTTGCTATAAATAGGTTGAGAAACAGCGTAATGATTTATCTCGTGAGATTGAAGATATCAGCGAACGACTGGATGAAGCCGGTGGTGCCACTTCTGCTCAGATTGAAATCAACAAAAAACGTGAACAGGAATTATTGAAACTTAGAAGAGATTTAGAAGAGAACCAACTACAGCACGAATCCCAAATTTCCAGTCTTCGTAAAAAGCAACAAGATGCCAATAATGAGTTATCGGATCAAATCGATCAACTACAAAAAATTAAGAGCAGGTTTGTAATTCTAACCCGAAGCTATCTTTCAGTAGGGGGTTGTGTTTTAAAAATACACTGTAATTTTTGTTTTGGCAATGTTTAGATTATTGTGTTTGACCTGGTCATATTTGCAAGCTGAACGTTAATATAATTAGCTGCATAGTTTGACTTTATTAGAGTCCACAAAATCTAGTGACAATTCCAAATTTAAGGATTTAAATCTGAATTTTAGATTGGAAAAAGAAAAACAACAGATTAAATCGGAGGCTGAAGATGCCATACATCAACTACAACACGCCAGTAAAAATAAGGTAATTGGCATGTCCATTGTAGTATGCATGGAATCACAAGCCTAACCTTAAACAAAATATTATGTAAAAAATGCAGACAGTATTTCAAACCTATGTTATTATTTAATTGTTTGCATGTTGCATGAATTGTAGAAAAGAAAGAGAGCTGATTGATATGCAGTTAGAGATGGACGACATGATGGTTGTCCTCGATCAACGACTACAGCAAATGGTACCTTAACTAATGATTTTATACTTGTATGAATAATATGCCTGTCATTATTTCATAACACTAGTTAATATTTCAATCGCATGTTTTATTAAAGTAGATTTATATAAAACAAACGAAGTGTTCAAATTAATCAGCATGATCATGTCCGACTACAATAAAAGACGATTAATCATATGATCTTGCCATTTTAGGGTATGTCTGAAAAGATGTCAAAACAGATTGAGGCTCAAATGGCCGAACTTAACGCTAAAGTAGAAGAGGGTAACCGAACGATAAGTGAGTTACAGCACACCAAAGGAAGACTCCAACAAGAGAGTTCTGAGCTCACTCGTCAACTCGAGGAGGCAGAACATCATGTTGGCCAGCTCACCAAAGAGAAGACTGGATTAGCTTCTCAACTTGATGAAGCTAAACGATCGCTTGAAGATGAGACACGACTTCGCCAGAAACTCCAAAGTGAGGTTCGCAACCTTAACTCTGATCTCGACGGTGTTCGTGAACAACTTGAGGAAGAACAGGAAGGCAGAAGCGACTTACAGCGCCAGCTTTCCAAAGCCAATGCCGAAGCCCAGCAATGGCGAGCTAAATATGAAGGTGAAGGAGCAGCGCGAGCAGAAGAGCTAGAAGAATCTAAGTAAGTTATCTGTTCTAATACCGATAGGTATAATGTAAACGTTTAATGAAAAGTACGACAAAATAAAATGCTAACCGGAAAACATTTTTCTTTTATCTTCTAGGCGAAAACTACAAATTAAACTTTCTGAAGCTGAACAGAATGCCGAAGCCGCGAATTCCAAAGTCAACAATTTGGAGAAAGCCAAGGCCAGACTTCAGGGAGAACTCGAGGACCTTATGATCGACGTTGAACGTGTAAGTTAATATTTATACACACATGTATATTAATAGGGCTAAAACATTATAGATTGCTGTTCTTTATTGACTTTGTTCTGAATTGAAACAGTATGATTATCTATATTTTGTTTATTAAACAGGCCAACTCAAATGCCAACCAACTTGAAAAGAAACAGCGTGGATTCGACAAAACTATCCAGGAATGGCAAGCTAAATGTAATGACCTCCAGTCCGAATTAGAAAATGCACAAAAAGAAGCCCGTGGTTATTCTGCTGAACTATTTAGGGTGAAGGCCAAGGGCGAAGAAGCTCAGGACAGCATTGAATCCCTTAGACGTGAAAACAAAAATCTTGCAGGTAACGCTCGTAACCTTACTTGAATATAGTCTTAATTTTAATGACTTTTCCGTTCTTTAAAGTGTAAATGATTATATTACTTTTTATTACAGATGAGATTCATGATCTTACTGATCAGCTCAGCGAAGGAGGCCGCAACGTTCATGAGGTGGAAAAGGCTCGTAAACGACTAGAATTGGAGAAGGAAGAACTTCAGTCGGCACTTGAAGAAGCTGAAGCAGCTCTTGAACAAGAAGAGGCTAAAGTTATGAGAGCTCAACTAGAAATTTCACAAGTTCGTCAAGATATTGATAGGCGTCTTCATGAAAAAGATGATGAATTCGAAAACACAAGGTAAATGGATTTAAATCCGCCATGGTGCATAATTAGGATTATTTGATATACATATGTATTTTTTTAAAAAAATGAACTTACTTATGAGATATATACCTTGTTTTATATGTGTATTTCAGACGTAATCATCAACGCGCTATAGAATCCATGCAAGCGTCCCTTGAAGCTGAGTGCAAGGGCAAAGCTGAAGCTATGAGGATCAAGAAGAAATTGGAACAAGATATCAACGAGCTTGAAATAGCCCTTGATGGTGCTAATCGAGGTCGTGCTGAGCTTGAAAAGGCTGTTAAGAGACACCAGCAACAAATCTTAGTAAGATTTTTAATCATGTATTTAGTAACATTCTTAAATTGTATACTGGTATTTATAGAAACATAATATCTTTGAAAATTGTATCTTTTGTGATTTCTTATTAATTGAAAAAAACGGCTCGTTACAGGAGTTACAATCTCATTGTGAAGAGGAACAACGCCAAAGAGAAGAAGCCAGAGAAGCGTTCAATCTGGCAGAACGACGATGTGCTGCGATCAGTGGTGAAGTTGAAGAACTTAGAACAGCTCTTGAACAGGTTAGTTTAAACGCGTGATAAGAAATTGATTCTAATGTAATAAAATAATGTGCATTATAATTGACTTAATCTGAAATTACTTTTATATTGCTATTGTTAATTTACTTCATTCCAGGCTGAACGTGCCCGAAAGGGAGCTGAAAATGAACTAACTGACGCCAATGACCGTGTAAACGAACTGGCCGCCCAAGCAAGCTCTATTCAGAGCCAGAAGCGAAAGTTAGAGGGAGACATCAACGCCATGCAAGCTGATCTTGATGAAATGAACAGTGAACTCAGAAACTCTGAGGATCGAGCTAAGAAGGCGATGGCCGATGCTTCTCGACTTGCAGAAGAACTCCGAAATGAACAAGAACATGGTTTGCAGATCGAAAAACTCCGAAAGGGTCTCGAAAACCATACCAAAGAACTACAGGTACGCCTTGATGAAGCTGAGTCTCAGGCTCTGAAGGGTGGTAAAAAGATTATCAGTAAACTAGAAACCAGAGTTCGAGAACTCGAAACTGAACTAGATGGCGAACAACGTCGCCATGCGGAAACACAAAAGAACATGCGTAAAGCAGATAGGCGTCTTAAAGAATTAGCCTTCCAAGCTGAAGAGGATAGAAAGAACCAGGACCGCCTACAGGAACTCATTGAAAAACTGCAGGGCAAGATTAAAACATACAAGAGACAAGTTGAGGAAGCTGTGAGTATAATAGATTTTTACAAAAGCTATGTTCAATCTAAACAGATATAATAAAGTAGAAGTTTCTTTGATTGATCACCCAACAAATATCTAATCAAATATTAACATGAAATCAATCATTCTAAAAGCAGTTGTTGCACATATATAAATATAGTATTATTTATGTATTATACCTACTTTTATAGGAGGAAATTGCAGCTGTCAACTTGGCTAAATTCCGTAAAGTCCAGAGTGAACTGGAAGATGCCGAAGAGAGGGCTGATAACGCTGAAGGTACAGTGAATAAACTTCGCGCCAAAAACAGGAGCTCTGTCTCGCAGGGCCGAACAAGTGCCAGTCCAGGAGTAAGTATTTCATAGGCATATTCAACCTTTACTAGATAAATATATATAATGACGTATGACTGATATCTATACTAGTATATAATAATAATGATATATATATATATATATATATATATATATATATATATATATATATAAACTATTTAAATATTTAATAAATTATATACTTAAATCTAACCAACTATTTTTGTAATAGGGACGTGCTGGTTCTGTCTCCCGCTCTGCAAGAGCCGGCTCTGCTTCGCTGTTGTGAGGTAAAGAAAACTAGAGATGGTGCTTTCATTGTCCAAGAATGCTTAGATTCCATGAAATTCTTCCCGTGTATTTTACGTCAACTAGTCAACATGTTGCAATCGCAAAACAAATGCTTATATTTCCCTCATGTTCTATAAATCTGCACTCCATAATGATAGAAAATAGAATAGAGTAAATATGTAGTGTATTGCTTAGTTTAATTTTAATCCTTAATATTCTTGCCTCTTTTCTCCTCTCTTTAGCCTATGAGGACGGCACGCGCTCCTTCGGGCGATTATTAAACAGTCAGTAAGTTGTTGAGACATCATATAAAATGGCGTCAAATATTAACAGCTTCTTCAAATTCATCAAGCGCCTAATAATATGTCAATCTTTATCATCGTATATGTAGATATAGATTGTAGAAAGCCTTTCATGTAGTTTCAAATTATTTATATTTTGCTTTTTGTGTTTTTGCCTTCTCAGAAGGAGGTTGTAGAATAAAAAAAAGCTTTTTTGCTTTATACAATAGTAAGTGGGTTTGCGGCCTGAGTGGTTATATTCCGCCATTTTGTTCTAATATACTATTTTCCTTAAATTTAAATTTGTTAAAATTATGTTGGGTTTATTTATTTGTTTTCCTATAACAAAAACATAATTGTCTTTATTCCAGTTTACTAAATTCTCATTAAACTATTTTACTATATACTTAGTTAAGTTATTGTTATCCATTTATATCAGATCCCTCAAACGTGTCCAATTCTTGTCTTTCATCTTTTATTCAATGCATGAACATCAGTCGTTTCTACTACATATTTAAAATATATATTTTATATATCATATCGCATGTTTTATATTTTCTTTCTGCCTAATAAATGGAATCATTCATATTGCTTATAAAAATTAAAATTTTACACATATTATTTTTTTGTCTTTTAATTTGATCTAATTGTAGGTTAATTTTATACATTTTTAGTATATATTTATGAATTTATGAATACTTATAGTAAAATTTAACATCAATATAAACAAATAGTATATTTTTCAAGGAACATAATCAGTATATATTTTTAAAATATTTTAATCCGATTTTTAACTTTTTCAGTTTTCTGACTTGTATGGTCACAGCACACTTAGATCTTCAGGAGCTGGACGGCAGTCGTCCTACAGAACTCTTTCTCCGTCCAATGAGGGGGAGGACTTTTAAAACTTTTGGGGGATTTTGTTTTACAGTAGCCGTTGTGCCTTACTCTATATCGACAATATGTGCTGTAAAAAAAGACATTTATTATGTGCAATATACTGTGCAATATATTTACGTAATGGTGATAAGACATGTATTATTTTTGGAATTCAATTTTTAATTTATTTTTTCAAGTTGCAAGCAACGCATATGAGCATATTTTTAATTTGACTCGGTGAAAATGTGTTTGTGTGATACCTGTGCTTATTCGACAAGTTTTACAAAGTGTCCTTAAAATAAACTCAATTATTTTTGTAGATATTTCTCGTCCATTTGTTATTACAATTAATTAAAAACTGTATTAGAAGTTAATTTTTCATTATATATAATATTTATTTATTATAATGACCCTACATTGGATTAGGTTGCTTTATATTTATTCCGAATAATGAATCAGGCCTCCTCATTGGACCGCATCATGGAAACAATAGAGTAAATTTATTTATACAATTCAATGTATTTTGTTTCGGTTTTTGCTTATTGATTGTTTTTCTTTTTTTTCTCTCAAACACTATTGTAAACCTTTGAAATACGAAAGAAATTATATCTCTCTTAACGCAAAATACACTGTGTCTGTTTTGTATACTGGTTGTATACCCACGAAGGAATATGGGGTTATTTATAACGATTTTCCAGAGAGGGGCGGGTCCTCGAGGGCCTTCCCTAGAAAATTTCCCCGCGATTTGGAATATATTTTGGATAAAATTAACATACAATCAATAGAAATAATGGCTTCTTAGCATCTACCAGAAAAGGTTGTCATTGGCTCAAGGAGCCAGGATATGGCTAGCTATGAATGAATTTTGTATGTACGTCGGATAATGTGGTCGCCAATGGGGTTATATATGTTTATGGGGACCAAGCCCATAACCAGCTATTTTGTGGGAAAGGGGGATCGCCGGCATAATTGTACAACGCCATTGTATTTGCGACAAAATTACGGTATGATATTGCAGTAACTCGATGAATTGTTAAACTATCCTACCCTACATGTACCAGTCTATATCTAATGAATAGGAGTTATCATAATAGATAGAAGCCTTTCCCAAATCCACCCCACCCATTCTCATATTTATCAAAAATTAGGAATTATACACAAAGCTCACGGATCTAGAATGCTGTCAAGTAACACACACCCTCCCCCACCCCCTTTGCTCTCCAAAAGCCGAAAGTACATAAAAAGATTGGACAGTCAGAAGCCAAAAGTATTATTAGACCTTCCAAAGAAACTAATCATAGCCTCAAATAACAAATGACGTAACAAACATGACTGTATACAAAACAGTTTTTCGCTTTTTTTGATTCATTACCAAACCCCCTGCACCTCAACCCCACCACTAAACACGGTGGAATGTTCTACACTGGCACCATTGTGTCTAATTATTTATTTTTTAAACCATTGTGTAATCCAACAAAATTTGTATGTTTTTGTAATTCTTAATAACTGTTTTCTTAAAATTAATATTGTGTATACCAGGATGATGCGATTGTACGATTTTCAAATTGAAAGAGAAAGAATATCGTATCTCGTGGCCTGATGAAGAACATAAACAAATCAATATAAGATGGCCATGCTATATTTATGAAAGAAGATACGAAATATTCGGAGTATAAACAGGCCAAAAAGCAAAAGGCAGTCTTATAGAAAGATTGGAAAATTTATTTTATAAAGCAAAATAATATAACGTCATAAAACACGTAATGCCATTATTAGAAAAACACAGAACCTCGTTGATTAGTGTCGATTTGTTGTATATTATGTTTTAGTGTGGGTTATTCAGTAATACATTAAATCTGCAATGGTAAACACAATAAAACTACGCCGTATTGGACCAACATGATTGCTGTAGTTCCGCATACAATATACGAAACTTTTTTTAAAAATCAACTAAAAAGGTTGAGTTCAAACAAAAATGGGGTGGTAACTCCCCTTCTGTAGTAAAAAAAACAACATTTTTTACCCAATCAATCAGAACAGTAACATACACTGAGAATCCCGCTGTGTAAAGTATACACTGGAAATTTAGGCGCAGATGATGAAAGAGGTCATTGAATTTTCACTAATATAATCTTGCATACAGAAAACACAATCAAATCCAATCAAATCGACACCCTTTCCTTATATAAATCATAGAGGTGCTGTTTATATTTAAATATTTCATGAAAAAGGGTGGAATGCTGGGATAAAATGTTAGATTTAAAGGAGAGGGTCATCTATTTCTATCGTTTAACAATAGATAAATAAGGATGACAGGTCAAAAAACTATGGAAAACTTTGAAACACCACACTATAGATAGCATGCAATGTTGGCGCCGGCGGATCCCTAACTTACAAATATCAACTGGAAAAGGCAAAAGACGACTAAAAGTTACACAAGATAGTAAATATCACCGATTTACTAAAAATCATCAGCATTATTAGGATGGTGGTGTCTCTAGTGAGTAAGGCGTAGGCTCGCTAACCTGGAGGTCCCGTGTTAGATCCTGATGTTGGCCAAGAAAGTTCACCGGGACTTTCCGGTGTGCCCCCCCCCCCCCTTTGCCTTTGCCAGTGGTGCAGGACGGAGCGTCTGACAATGCACATCGCATAGTCGTTCAGTTGGGACAAAATATGTAAAAGAACCCTTAGCAGTTAGAATTCAATATTAAGAGTAGGCCGTAGTGCAGCACTGTATCTTGCCTGTCCGTTTTCATTAGACCAATCGATGCAGAACAGTAGGACGTTAAACCCCATTTTGTTTCATTTCATATTTTGTAAGCTTTGGGATGGTACTAGCGCATTATGTAAGTAATTAAGTGTGCTTAAACGTGGGCACTCATAATTTTTCTGAGAGGTGATACGAGAAGCTGTCATCATTTGCTACCCTTTGTTAGAATTTAGAAGCAGATGGACCATCTCCTTTAAGGAACAATATTAGAGGATATAATTATTATATTTTAGATAACAATAATAGTTTGTATTAATGATAAACCACAGCCGTTCTAACATATTCAAATAAGTTCAGAGTAGAATGTTCTTTCACCTAGTTTCTACATTTTTATTACAGTATTAAACATAGTTCTTTGAACTTTCAAGTTATGGCCAGCATACTCTACCGAATACCTGTCAACCATAATTTTCCAGCTCTACAGTTTCTGACCACTGGCGATTTATAGACAAATAATTGATAATGTGAACTAGCCAATAAACTGAAAGAAGATGACCACTATATTGCAGTATTTCTCGGCCATTATCTAATTTAAATCTCCAGTTGACAATGCCATTCTTGTTCCTGGGTTTCATATTTTGAATTTACAATTCACCTTGCCTTTAAATATTTTCGATTAAACATATAAAGCCATGGCCAATCACCAGTAACATGTAGTGAACTCTCTCCGCCAGGTAGAATGTTGCCAAGGTAGCTCCATTTACAAACTTTACATCACACAAATAAAGTCCGTCTGTAACACATAATGAAGGGAGTTAATATCAACAACAAAGATAGAGGTCAAATTTATGTCTGAAACTATTGCTAGAAATATGATTCGTTGAATAATAAAGTTTAACCAATTTAACCAATAAGGTAAGTGTGCAAAAATAGTAATGGATTGTTATAGATACCATCTTAGCATCACACCCCGATAACTGTACTAATAAAGTACGTCAAACCTGACAAATAGTACCAATAGATGGTGGATATAGCTAAGTGTTGTTTGTTTGTTTTTTTTAAACTAAACATTTTTAACAAAAGTTTCAGTTTAGGGAAAGCTACATGCATATGAAATGTTGGGAGTATGAAATAGACACAAAATGCTATTAAATATGAAACAAGGAAAATAATAATGCTGGAATAGAATTGAATAGTGCCGGGCGGGTGTAGAAGATAATATTGCACGTCCACCGGCGTTTCCACCGCCATATCTTTGATTTTTCAGTGTACTGTCAACTAAGTAGGCCTCTTTGGCCGGGTAAAGCATGTCTTGTGATACATTTGATGTACATGAAATGAAATGGGGTTTAACGTCCTACTGTTCTGCTCCTATACTGGGCTAATGAAGACGGGCATACGCCATACAGTGTGCTATGAGGGAAATTTTGCCCGGGCAGCGCACTATCGCCTACTCTTATATCGAATTCCAACTGCCAAGGGATCTTTTACGTGCATTCTAATGTATACACGAGACCTCGGTTTTTCGTCTCATCCGAAGGACTAGACAGCTGTCCTTGTCAGGCCCTCTGTTCTGCACCACTGACAAGGGGAAACAACGTCGGAAAATACATTTGATATACATGAAATGAAGCCACAATGCAACACACATGCTTACATTATGCTACATGTACAACCTTAAGCATTACATAAAATAAAGTAGTGTTACATAGTGTGAGTGAGAGACAGTGATAGGTAAAAGATTATAATTATCCTATGACCGCATGTGTAATAAACTCTCCACTGTTCTCTAATTCACACTATGTAACAATATTTTGCATCCAGAAAAAAAAAAAAAAAAAAAAAAAAAAAAAATATTGTTACATAGTGTGAATTAGAGAACAGTGGAGAGTTTATTACACATGCGGTCATAGGATAATTATAATCTTTTACCTATCACTGTCTCTCACTCACACTATGTAACAATAGTCTTATGGACATCTAAAGTTCATATTACTTTCTACAGATTTCATGTCCCTATCTTCAATTCTCCGTATTCGTCCGTCCCTGACTGAAGAATAATTTAATTCAATCTTATATCGAGGACAAGACGGTGACTAAAACACTTTCCAGTGTTTATTTGTACAGAATATGAATAATGAAAATTTACTACATGTTCTGTAAGATTATCCCCTAGTTCGCCAAGAGTATTTGCACTATACTATTCAGCACATTTTCTCAAAAAGTATTTGCTCTATACTATTCAGTACATTTTTTCTCAAACAGTATTTGCTCTGTATGCGGACGTCACACTGTCCCGAAATTGACACCAGATGGCCATACGAATACGGAATTTTGGTTTTTGCGATCGGGGTCAACAGCCAATCAACTGCCGAAGTCAGTGCGATGCCTACAGAAGGTCACACGAATGTAATACGAAGATGTGAATTTTGTATAGTTGTTTATACCCGCAGGACACACGAGGGCGACGTGGTGGCCCTGTAGAGTTGTTCTGGACTGACTCATATTTTCTCACTAGAGTAATGTCGTAGGAATTATACCACTGTACACTTGCAAGCATTACAGTAATGTACACTTATGGTATGAGAGTTTCTCAAGCAGTGTAGTCTACCAATATACATGTGAGTGTTTCTCAAGCATTGCACCACTGTACATGTGAGAAAGTTTCTCAACCTCTCAAGCATTGCAGCACAATTTTTAAGCATTACACCTTTGTACATTTGTGAGAATTTATCAAGCATTGCAGCACAATTTTTCAAGCATTACAGTTTTTCAAGCATTGTACCACAGTTTTTTAAGCATTGTACCACAATTTTTCAAGCATTGCACATCATCTCTAACATTTCACTACATTATGTTCTTCAACACTTTATTTTCACATATAAGTGAAATCATTTTACTGTGCTATTTCTTTAATCAGCACTGTGTGTGAGTTAGTTGTATTTTACTTCCGCTTTCATTTTTCACCTCGGTGGAAGCGGACGTAAAATACAACTAACTCACACACACACTGTGCTAATTAAAGAAATCGCCGTTTCCCGTATACTATCAATAAAGAAATGCATGTCTTAAATATTCTTAGACGTTGTAGGCGTCGGTAGCTTTAAAATTTATACATATTTTCAGAAATTGTTGAAAATGAACATTTGCCAATTGATTAAGGAACTGGGTGTAACCGATTTGTGTAGGTTATCTCGACATACTCAAAAGATACATCGTCTGCTATTGACGTCAATATCATCTCCTCTTCATCTAGTTTAAACTCATCAAACACCTTTCACTAAATAAAGATAAACAATACGTACATATGGATCCTAGCTCTTAACATGGCTATAGAAAAACATAGGTGAAAACGTCATTGATACTTTAATTTACAAAACAGGAAAAAAAGTAAACCTTTTCCTCCCCCAGCTATACATATCACCATCAGTCATTACTGAAAAGTATGCATGTGCTATATATAGCTATAACTCACGGTAAACAGATCTCAGAATTTGGTAACTTCAACTTCGTTAAGTACATTTTGTTGATTATAAAAGATGTTTAACATAATATGCTGTCTGTTTAATTTAGAACATTTTTACAAAGCTAACAAGATATTGATTCAGTTATGCATTACCTTCACCTGGTATTTTTTATTTCCATTGTATATAGCTTATAAATAACTTATATATAAATTATACTGTGACTTGTATCTATACCATAACTATTAACAGCAGTTATGCCCCTTTAAAACTGGAAAACTACCAGGAACCATTTACTGTGAACTAAACAAGATAAAACTTTATAACCCCGTTTACATTACAAACTTTAGACGTGCCGCGAACGTAACGTTAAATTTTTTTGTAGTATACACGGGTCAAACATAGCCGTGCCATATTGAGAACCGTGCCAATCTAGCCCACTGGTGTTAGGTGATCTCGGCACCGTTCTCATTACGGCACGGTTAAATTTTCGCAGAGTAAACGCTATCCGGTCTCAGTACGGATTTCTGCGTATGCGTTAGCATTACGTTTGACCCTCTGACCCTTTACCCCGTGACTGAAATTAATTTTAATGTGAAGAGTTCCACATTTGACGTACCAAAAGCGGTTCCAAGAACGGTTATTCTATAGCTATGTAAACGATGTAATTTCTTGAATTTTATCGCGGTCAGTAGCGACTACGTTACGCTTATCGCGACCAAGTGTAAACGCAACTTTAATTATGAGTCAATTCTAAAGCAATTTAAGGTTATAAAAGACCCTTTCACTTATAACCGATATACATTATTGCTATATATTGTAATTTGAATCCATCCTGTTCCGGTTCATACAGACGCTAATAAATCATAGAATATCATATATATATTGAGAGACAACATGAAAAATGATTCTCTAGCCTATACGTTGAAGGTATTGTAGTACTTTACCTTTTTCAACGATGCATAGTCTTAGTATTAGTGGCAGGCGTATTGATATAATTGAGGAAATTCTAGCCATTAATACCCCAGACTGTATGGGCAAGGTGCCATATTAATTTATAGCCCTCCTACTTTTTAACTACCGACTATACCTTTCATCTAGTTCAAAATGGAGGCTTGATGGTTTTACCATGAGCAAATACATGTTATGCGAGAACGATATCTGACTATAATATTGCCATTGTAAGTCGTTAACCATTCCTGAAATTCGATGGATTGATAAAATTTAAAGAACAAAGACAATGGAATCATAATAGTAACTGAAGGCCAAAATACTGTACAACCCCGTTGAATAAGCTTGATTATACATAGAACCTCAAAAACTTTAAGTGCAAAGACAGTGAAACTAATGTGGAAAATACATTGTCAACAATTAATTCGTTAAATTAAAATCGATTTATTTCAAATATTTCATTTAATTTCCTGGGTCGTTATTGTTAGGAATAATCTAATTCTATCGGTTAAAGTAATCCAAGCATGTGTTAAAATACATTTCAGGCATAACCTTCAGAAAATACTTTCAAGGTCAATCAAATCATGAGTAGGTTATTGACTGCATATAATCTTCAAACCACTGTCATTAAATAAGCGTTAAATTTAAGGAGACCGGCAAAAATACCGGTATCATGAATTACGTTGCCATGGTTTTCCAGAGATCTGTACAGTAATAAAACTGGGGGTTTATAGTTATATACATTACTGTTGTAACATATATTTATTTATACGGTAGAATGATTAACCAAGAATCCTACAACGATAACAGACACAATATATAACATGTTATTATATACAAGGCATACATGCTATAACTATTAGCACCTTCTAATATAGCAAATCGGTATAGGTATTGATATCACAATATCAATTGATATATAACTTAACAATTTTAATCGCAAATATATCAATATGGGATAATAGCACCTACCAATAGAGTAAATCGGTATAATTATTCATTCAGATTTATAAAAGCGCATCGTTTTTCGTTTTGTAATTATTAAACACTTGAAACACCTTCAACGAAAAAAAAATGTATCTTTTCTAAGGTCCTTTTAGCCCAATTGACTCATATTTATAGACTGGTTCGATCACTTATTAAACACTAATTTGTATTTGTCGGTTTCTACGCACGAATATAATGTAAAACATTTTAAACTATTTTCATTTTTCTTAACACTAATATGTATTTGTCGGTTTCTACACACGAAAATAATGCAAAACATTTTATCAAAAATACGTGAAAGTGCATAAACTAGAGAAAACCCTCCTAAATTAATTACAAACGAAAACATTGATGTGTGAACGAGATACTGAAAAGATTTTCTCTGCTGTCT